ATTTTAATTGCTGTCCGTTTCTCAAAGACCTCCAGTCGCCTCCGTTTCTCGGTGACCGTCGAGGGCTAACGGATTCGGTTCATCAGGTGACTTGCCAGATCCTTTTTCTGTGATAAGCTCAAAGTTTTGATGATAGTTCAGGAAAGAAAACCAAGCACAAGGCCATCACTTGAAAGCATTTTGTTGTCTAATACTGATTCGTTAATCCCACAACTTATTCCTTTACTGCAGAGCAAAGGGCCTGGGTAGACCAAAAGTGATCGGTTTTGTGAAAGCTCGTAATTGTCATGGCACGAGCTGTGTTCCAGCCAAAATTCTCTTCGTTTCTTCAAAAACCCCAGATTGTCATCGGACTCGCCTTGAAAATCTTGACACCTTTAGAGATTCTCCCTGCGAATGATCCTGAATTCTGCATCAGCCTACCTCCGCTAACAAAAATAATACCCATTCAAATAAAGCAGTTATTCAGGAGAACAGTATAATGCATGGCGTATTCCAGATGGATGCAAAGCTTTTGATTTCGCCTTGCATTTTCCGCTTTTGTAACATATCTTAGAACGTGTTTTCAAGCTACAACCTGCCATTTTTTGAGCACTTCAGGAGAGTCGTTCATCACAATTGCCGGGCTAAAGATGTATCTATGGAAGATTGGGTGAGAAGATTCCTGACTGGGATGTTCCTCTACCAAAGACTTCTTTCTGCTATTCTCGGCCGCTTGAGTAAAAAACCAGAAGGCATAAAAAACTGATCAGTCAGGCTATCAGTGATTTCTGTTCAGATCCGTGAATAAAGGATTTAAGCGATTCCAAGTTGGCGATCTACTTGTGTGGGGATTGTGTGGGACAGAAACCGATTCCCGAGCGGCCGCACCTATGCGGTGGCGGTTTTTCAAGGTGATATACGATTTGATATGACAGATCGCTATGATCACTGGCAACCTGACAAGCTTTCATATGAAAAGCGGCTCTCGCTACCTCTCTATATAATGCCATCTATGATCAGCTATAGCCAGTCGGATCGTCAGCGACCGCTCCACTCAATGTTTTCCAGGAATACTGTCATAATTCTGCTCATCATCGTCACGGTTGCTCTGGCTTGCCATCCAAGTAAGAGCAAGCACAGTCACAAGCATAAGAAGTGCAAAAACGGAGGTTAGCCTCTCAATTTTTTGATCTCTATTGAGGTCCGTAATTTCTGTTGTAACATACCTGATTGAAGTGGACCTACTAACATCTTTGACCCTACTGTAGGCCACATTGTTTTACCGCTCTCACACAAAGCTTATGGGCTGCAGACCAAGCAACTCTGTGCCCTCTTATGCCCTATTCCAATCTAGTATGCTTTACACTTAGGCGTATTCCCACTCGGGCGCCTTTAATACAGCCGTTCAGCTAGGTTCGATCACACGGAGTTGGGTAAGAACGCCTCGAATGTGAGGGATGTTTGTCCAGAATTGTCTGGTTCATGAAACAAATCCACACCTTACCCATGTCAATAAGGCTCTGAGTTCAGTAACCTCTGGCTAGTACTGGTTTGAAGCAAGTATGGGTTGAAGCGTGAATTCAAAAAGAGTAAGAATGCGCTGCATGACCCCTGGGAAATAACCAGCTTCAGCTGATTTTTCTTGCTCCATATCATTACAGTTTCTAATTAGTAGAGTTTCTAGGCAGTGGTGAAAAGGAATGTGAAGATTACTACTATTATTACTACGACGACTATGATCATGACCATAAGCATAAGCATCATCACCATGACCATAGCCATGAACATGGGCATGGGCATTCACATTAACATGGCGAAAGTGGCCGTCTTATGAAGGTGAGCGTCTCCATTCTCGTTTTTGTAGAACAGAATTTGTTTCCTGACTAATTTCTGCTGGAAGACTGTCCTATTCTTCTAAGTTTCCCTTTATTCCAGATTCGATTTGTATATAGCGCAGAGCAAGAACACCATCCACAAGGTCTCCAGAGAATGATAAATTATGTAATTTAATTCACCTTCAGGGAGAGTAAATATATTTTCTGCAAGGCATGAACTTGTTGCACATGTGTTTGGTGTTCTCTGTTGTTTTTTCTACAAACGTGATCGCATGGTACACTTTGGAACTAGGCCGTCTCTGAACTTCCTTCAATCAAACCCCTCTTTGCTTTTCCTAATTTTACTCGTACAGGATATGAAGCGGGAATCGTTGATGTGGGAAACTTAGGCATTGGGGAAGGTCTAGAGCAAACCCAAGTCAATTCTTTGTCTGACATTTTTGTTCTTACTCCATTTTCCCTAAGATTCTTTGGGAGAGAAAAAAAACAAAGGCATCCCTGAATGGGAAACACTCTGCTATAACTTGTAAAACCTGCCGTTCAAGAAGCCAGATAAGTAAAATACCTGCATATCCTCACCTGCTGCCATCCAGAATGTGTTGGAATATCAAGGAATCTCAGCTAGTAGTGCTGTATGAGTGAAGAATTTGCTGTTGATTTGAGAGGAGCTATCGGAAATTCGATTGACTCGATAGGGATGACGCGACATGAATGCCTACTCAAGCTCATATCATATACAGTTACCTCCATTGGCTCAAACCAGTTATAGAAGGCATTTGACTATGAGCCCCAAGAATACAGGGGAATCATCATCGAGGCTCAAGACCATAGCGTTGTTTACGTTTCATATGGGTATTCTTGAGAATGCTAAGGCCAGCATTTTGAATTTTTGACATTTTTGGAGTGCCGTCCATCAAATGGATACATTTGGAAGCTGAAGCATTCATTTTAATTGCTTTATAACAAAATTATTCGACAAAGTCTTTGTTTCTGATAAGTTCATCAATCATCTTTGCATGCCAATGGGCATAGGAAACGGCATGTAAAATTGGACGAAATGGCGTTAGAAAGTCTTGACTGTCGATTTCGTTTTGATCGACGCCTGTTGGAGGGATAGGCTTTGGATTCTCTGAATACAAAATTTTAAAGTTATGGGATATAAAAGGCATAAAGAGATTATTCAAAGAAAAACGCCAGAGTGGGAATATGCCTAGCCAACCATGACCATTCCACTAAATTCGGGGCGCAACCTCAACAAATCAAACTTAGTGGTTATCTTTACTAGCGTATCGAGGTGATAAGTTAACAACCACCAGTCAATCACTTCTCATAGTTTGAAGGCAAAACTGGGCCACATCTCCTCCACATCTATAGAGCCTTCTGTGGCTCAGATCATGAGCTGCATTTGCGGCCTAACCTCGGCCTTAAGTTTTTTAACGCTGTTCAATCCATTTTTTGGACCCATCCTTACATTTTGATTGCACAGCAGCTTTTTCTTGGTATGTTGTTTTTTGGAGCCCACCTTTGTGGCCTTTATAAAGTTCATACGAAGAGAAAGACGTTTGGAACTCGGATGTATGGGAGTAAGGAGCGTCTAAAAATGAGCCGCGGTGGCGACCGATGTACAAGAAAGTATTTTTGTCCTTCCAAAGTGGCTCGCTACTGGGAAACCGATTCTGCTATTGTGAAAGACTTGGTTCTGGGCTGAGAATTGATCCCTAGACTACGTGCCCTGTAGTGATGCGTCACTCCATACTACACCACTTTCGCCATTTGCATCTTTAATTGAAAATGCAATGTTTCAAATGGCCGTCCTATATCCCTGAAGTATTTTTTATGATTGTAACCATGTCCTAAGGAAGGGAGTGATATAATGATTGCCAAAGATACATTTCAAAGAATTAAAGGTTCGAACGAAAAGCTTTTCGCCTCCGTCCAGTTGTATACCTTGATCTAGCTCGAATAGCATCTAACTAACCTATAGGATCGATCAACCGTATGGGTCTGTAACGTTTGTAGGCAATCGGATGGGTCTGAAATTAGAAGATTAATAGCATCCATTACATTTGTAATTCAATCGGCTTGAAAGAGCTCTTGAGAATGACACAATGGTGGCTTTGCTCACCTCGGTTGTGATAAGATTCAGCTTCACCTGAGGATCGAAGAGACATTCGTCGTCTCTCAGAGGTCTGGTCTTATGTTTGACTCTAAAATTTTAGAAATAAGTGGTAAAAACTTAGCCTTAAAATCATGTTTTCCGCAGGTTTGCAACGTATATTTGTAAGATGCCTTGTTGTAAAAGAGTTTAGTACTCATTGATCTCTTCTTCGAGATAAAATCAATTATCAAAATCAGTCATCATCAGTACCTGCAATAACAATGGGATGTCCTCATCACGCCGCTTTCACTTGCAGAAGAGGTAGCTGATACGAAGGACCTGACGTTGAAGAAGGCAATGATAGAGAAGAACACTGATTTCAGCAACAATTAAAAACTTACTCATCTTCGTCGTCTTTCGACTTATCCTTTTTAGTTGGTGTCTTGTTTTTGCCCTCAGCAGATGGTTTTTGCTTCTCCTGGAATTCCTACTATTAGAATGGAACAGTTAAGGCTGGAAAGTAAAGGTTAATCGTTTGTGGGACGTTTGGGCGTGCTCTCGCATTCCACTTCCACTCCAAATCTTTGTAGCGTTATGAGTGCGCAAGTGGCCTATAAATCGAGTTCCGGTGGCAAGCCGGTGTATAAGCCAGTGTTTCTATCCTCCTGGAAGAGCTTAGTATCGACTACCCAATTTCGAAGGGGTGGAAAGTTTGATGATTGGCTGTGCCGTGACTCGAATCGGAACTCGAGGTCCTAACCCATCCTCTAAATACTGTAGGAAAAATCAGTCTCAAAAAGAGCATCAGCCCTTACTGTCGAGTAAATCTTATGGTGCTAGATGTCAGTTCCATTCAAGATCCCAGCGGTTAGAACAAGCAACCAGTAATTCGACCCGTCAGTCTAGGTTGGATAGAAATTTCACGTGAGGAGGACATCTTAGATGAAGATCTGCCAAGCAGTGTATCGTTCAGTTCTATGAGACTCTAAGAACGTCTTGTAAGACTTTCATTTAATTTGGGGACTCCTCTTGCGCTCTTCTAGGTGAGAACTTCAATCCATTTACCTCAGCGACTTCTCATCCAGAAAAGGTGA